CTGTGCACCTCAAAATCCACAGTTTGGGGTGTGAACCCAATGTGTGTGTGGGGCACTGTGCACCTCAAAATCCACAGTTTGGGGTGTGAACCCAATGTGTGTGTGGGGCACTGTGCACCTCAAAATCCACAGTTTGGGGTGTGAGCCCAGTGTGTGTGTGGGGCACTGTGCACTTCAAAATCCACAATTGAAGGTGTGAGCCCAGTGTGTGTGTGGGGTCCTGTGCACCTCACAATCCAGGATTTTGGGTGTGAGCCCAGTGTGTGTGTGTGGGGCACTGTGCACCTCAAAATCCACAATTTGGGATGTGAACCCCCTGTGTGTGTGGGGCACTGTGCACCTCACAATCCACAATTTGGGGTGTGAGCCCAGTGTGTGTGTGGGGCCCTGTGCACCTCACAATCCACAATTGAAGGTGTGAGCCCAGTGTGTGTGTGGGACAGTGTGCACCTCACAAACCACAATTTGGGGTGTGAGCCCAGTGTGTGTGTGGGGCACTGTGCACCTCACAATCCACAGTTTGGGATGTGAACCCAGTGTGTGTGTGGGGCACTGTGCACCTCACAAACCACAATTTGGGGTGTGAGCCCAGTGTGTGTTGGGGGCCCTGTGCACCTCACAATCCAGGATTTGGGGTGTGAGCCCAGTGTGTGTGGGGGGCCCTGTGGGTGCCCCAGCCCAGCTGAGCAGTGTCCCCTGTCCCTGGCTTTGCAGGAGCATGGCAGCCTTTGCAGGGATGTGTGACGGGGGCTCCACAGAGGACGGATGCGTGGCTGCCTCGCGGGACGACACCACCCTGAACGCCCTGAACACGGTGAGTGACCCTGGAACAGCAGGGACTGAGGGCACCCAGCTTTTGGGGTCCCATTTCTTGCTGGGAACCTCTCTCAAACACCAGGTGGTTTTCAGAGCTCTGAGCTGCAGAATTTCAGTGGTGAACTCATGGATGGTGCCTCAAAGGTGACCCCAGGGAGTGTTTTTGGCTGCTCAGCTCAGGGGCTGGGACTGGCCCAGCTGCCCCTGAGCTGGCTCTTGGGTCTGGTCTGGGCTTAGCTGCAGTTGAAATTCCTGCATTCTGCTCCTGAGTTCCTTTCCCTGAGTGCCTCACCCCTCTGCTCTGGGCTGAGCTCTTCCCTGACTTCCTTCTCAGAGACTCAAACTTCTGTTAAGGTCAATAATCATTAAGGAGCTTTTGGAATTGGAATTTCTTTGCCCTTATCTATAATAATAGCCTAATGCAGAAAATTCATTTAACTTCACTGCTTCTCTATCTACTTTAATTACTCCCTTTAATGGTTTGGCAGCCCCAGGATCTGCAGCTGCACTTGTGGAGTTCTTGCTTCTGAAATTAGATTAGTCCCAAAATATTTTGGTTTTGTTCTTCTGGTTCTTTTCCCTTTGTGTTTCTAATGCATGTCTATTTTAGGAAATGCTTTCCATTCCCACTGTGGATTTTTCTAGAAAAGAGTTTCCTTATAAATAATAGTTCTGTCAGGGATATTTTAAGAAACTTTGACTTATTTCTGAGACCCTGCTTTTTTGGCTTGAAACAGTTTAGATAGCTCACCTGTTGTCCTGACAAAATGGTGCCTCTTTTGTCTCTCAGTTCACCACCAATTTAAAAGAGATCAGATTTATCTGATAAATGATTTGTGAGCCTCTTAACCTGCACTAAGTTGTGTCTTTGTTTAGAAATTACCATATGCAACCCAGAAGATGAATGTAAAAGAAAATGGTGTGCTATGATTTCTTATTATGGAAATCCAATAAACTTCAGGGCAGCACTTCACATAAATCAGTCTTGACAAGCTCCTTTGCTGCTGTTTTATTTATGTAATAACAGGTGCTGTGAGCCCCCAGAATGATTTATTGTTAATTGTGCCAGATAGAAATGGAGATCATGGAAGGCACAATGCAACACAGGCATCACACACATGTATTTGTGTCTCAGCTCCCTGCAAGGGTTGTTCACTCTGCATTCCAGGTGAACTCCAGCTCCTGTCCTGTGTTTGTTGCTGCCACGTTTGTCTCTGTAACCCTGAGGAGTGAATTGGGTTTTCATTTGGGGTTTGCTGCCTTTTCATTTGGGGTTTGCTGCCCCCCTGATGGTGCCCCTGTGGGACTGGGAGGGCTGAGGAGCACACAGCAGCTCCTGCAAGCCTTTCCCATAATAGTGGTGAGGAAATGATCCCAGGAAGCTGCTCCTGCCCTGGGGGAGTGCTGCCAGTCTGGGAATGCAGAGGGAACGAGGTGAGTGTTGAGCACAGACCTGGCAGTGCTGGGCAGGGAGGGCTGGGGAGGTTTGGGATGGTTCCTTCCCTCCTCTTTGCCTCCAGACTCTGATTTAGCCCCAGATGTGGTTTCAGATCCTTTCTGTGTCCGCAGCAGGGCAAAGGCAGGAGCTCCTGAGCTCTTTCATCCTCCTGACCCGTGCCTGCTGCTCAGGGTTCTGCAGCGCTGCTTCAGGCCAGGCAGGGATTCATTCCCTGCCTTGTGCTCGGGTTTGCCAGAGCTGCAGAGGAAGAATCCGTTCCCAGAGGTTCAGCCTTGCCAGAGCTGCAGCAGGCCTGGGGCAGGCAGGCTGCAAACCCAGAGCGGGACCCACAATCTCTGGGGTTTGGTTCGTGTTTCTGCTGGGGAAATCTCAGCCAGCCACTCCTGTTTATCCCCAGCAGATGAAAAAACAGCACCATTAAGCTCATGTAGTGCCACATGGAGGAGAGCCCAAACAATGATATGCTAATATTGTGTAAATCTCTCTTTACTAATAGTGTTGTTGTGCCTTCTCATGGCTCTGCTGCATGGGAACGTGTCATTATGAGTGACAAACATGACAGGCTAATCTCAGTGCAAGGAAATTCACTCCTAACTAAGATGTCACCCAGACAAATTACTCCCTGTTTTAACTTGCCCTTAGACCAGATTTTCTTGTTCATTAACTACAGACAAGGTTGAAAGCATTAAAAAAATATTATTTAAATATATGTTAGCATTTCTGCTTGCGACTGGTTTTGCTGGTGGGTGATGTTAATGAGCAACTGCTCTCCTGGTTCACACAGGCAGGGCCAGGCTCCCTGCCCAGGCCTGTCCCAGTGCAGGAGACACTTCTGCCTCTGGAGCTTCCATCCATCCTCATCCTCACTCTTACGGGCAGGTCAGAAAGGGCCAAGCCCCACTGCTGTCATTGCTGATAAAGTTCTGGGAGAATATGCAAAATCCTGCTGGGTTTGGAAGGTGTTTTTAAAGGCTGTGGTGAGTTTTGCAGGTAATTGGCATTTCTTGCCCTGGCTGTGTTGAATTTTGCAGGTAATTGGCATTTCTTGCCCTGGCCCTGCCTGCAGTGCCCCACAGCTGTTCTGCAGCTGCATTTGGGCTGTGTGGCACAACAACGTGGCTGCATCACAAACATCAGGATTTTAATCTTCAGCTCTTTAGGTGCCTGAAATAGATTAGAGCTGGGGGAAAGATATGGAAGTTGGATTTTTTGGTTTGATTTTGTCTGATACCCAAATTATACCCTAAAGGGCACTTGGGGCTCCTGTGTTGCTGGGCTTTAGAAATGATAACAGCTAAAAGGAGCATATTCTGTTTTCGCTGTAGGGCAAGATGTCCACAGCTGTACAGAACATCCACAGCCCACTGAAATTTGCCAGCTCTGCTACTGAAAGAAGGGGCCTGAATTGCATTTTGTATTAAATCAGGTGTTGGGTTGGAGTTTTTCACACCCAAAGATGGAGCTGCTCGTGGCACTGATCCCCATCCTGCTCCTCATTTTCCTTTTTCCCTTCTCCCATGGGAGAGCCCATGTGGAGCTGGGAGCTCTGGGGTTCGGGGCTGTCCCGTCAGGGCTGGATGTGCTGCAGCCCCATTGGGGTGGGTTTGGCTGAACAATCCCCTCTGCTCCCAGGCCCAGCCCAAACCAGGCTGGGCTCTGCTTCTGGAGCAGTTCAGGAGCGCTCCCATGAGACTGCAGCAGTTTTTCCTTGGAGAAGGCGGCTCTGGGATCTCAGTGCTCCTAATGGAGGGCAGTTATTTAATGCTGAGCCCTGCCTGCAAGCCTGCCCGAGCTGGGCTCTCCAAGGCACAGCAGAATGGCTGTAATTGCCAGAGGAAGCCTTGCTGCCACATGCAATGGCACTCTGCTCTAAAAAGGTCACAGGAAAGGGACATTTAAATTAAGTTATAAATTACAATTGAAGAACAATATTTTGATGAGCAAGCCCAGAGATGTCAGAGCTGCAAGATGTAATTCATGGGTTCATTACAGACTGGAGGTGCCTGACAGCTGAGCCATGCCAAAGGAGAATTTATTTGCAGCATCACCCAGACAGCAATGGCAGCTCTGCTCAGAGGCTGCAGTGGGAACTGGAACCTTGTGGGAATGTGCAGCCTTGATGTGCAATCCCTTCCCTGGGCCCTGGCTGTCTGTAAAGCAGTGTAAGGGAGCCTTTTGGGCACGTGCACATCCAGAATTGTGCTTTAATCCTGCCCTGTGGTGCAGAAGTTGCTGTATTTTCTGTTTCAGGGTGCATTTGTGGTGGTTCCCTTTGTTGCAGTTGTTCACACATCAAATCTCACAGTGGTGCCAAATGTGGATGCAGAGTTAATGCTAAAAATGGAGATTCTCTGGCTGGCTGGACAGTGATGCAGTGTTTGTAGAAACACCTGGAGAAGTTCAAGCAGGAGTTAATGAAACCAGAGGCAGTCATCATTAGCTGTTATTTATCCTCTGGATCTTGCCAATAAAGTGCTCAGCAATGGCTGAAAGTAGAAAGCAGAGAAGCAGCCAGACTGGAACATGTAAATTTAACTCCAGCACTTAGAGAAAATATTTTTCCTTTCTGCTGCATTATTCTACTCCTGGCATTTATAAAACATTTTTTTTCCACTCCCACCTGCTAAAATTAACATTTTTCAGGAGCCCCTAAGCTTGTATCATGTTTTCACAGGGGTCTTCTCTTCCCCATTTCTCCTCTGTCAGGTCTGTGCTGACAGGGTTTGGGGTTTTTATTAATGAATTACTTGCTCAGAAGTTCACCCCATATAATCTGTGGCTGGCCTGTAAACTCCTCTTTTTCTGGAGCAGCTGCCTGTCAGCCCAGGCCGTTCTTTCTGGGCCTGTCTGGTTTGTTTTCCTTGCAGATTGAGCTGCTTGGGCACTGGGCTGCCAGGGAGCAGCACGTGCTGTCCTTGAGGCAGAATAAAGATGCCCTCCAAGCCACAAAGAGCTCTGGCATTGCTGCTGCTTGGGAGGGAGCGGGGAGGGGAGGGAAACAGGAGCCCCATTCTCCTCAGCCCTGTCACATCTCCCGAGTGAAAAATCCTCTGGGCAGTGGCATGCACAGAAAAGAGGCATTTGCAAGGTGAGCTGGCAAAACAAACCGAGCTCTTTTCTTTGAGATGGATCGGTTCCCAGTGCTGGAGTGCAAACAGGGAGGAAAATTAATGTGTACCCAGCAGAAAAGGCAACATCTTATTTCCATGCCTGTAAGTAGGCATTGCATACCATGGGAGCCTTGGAACTATTTTCTTTTAAGTTGGTTTTTTAATTTATTTTTTTCTCCTGCTGACCACAGGAGATGGAGCCAAGTTGTGTGAAGTGAAGAACAATAGAGTGGAGAACATAACCCATCATGTGTTAATTTTTATTTTGTCATGGCTGACATCACAGTGAGCCCTGTGAGGGGGGGAGGGAGCAGTGAGGCTTTGGGTTGAACATTACCTGGGGCAGGTGTAGGAGGGAGGGGATCCCTGCTTGGGTTGGTGCTGCTGCTTCCCCTCTGAAGCCTCAGTTTCCCCTCAGGTTGTTACACTCACCTCATACATCAGCAGGAACAATAATCAGGCACAGAACATCTCTTGTGGCTCCTGTAGTGGTTTTCCCCCTCCAATATCAGATCGCTGCTAATTCCTTTGGATGATCTATTTGTCTTCTTTCTTTCAGCTCCATGAAAGCAACTACGATGCTGGGAAAGCCCTGCAGCGCCTGGTGAAGAAACCTGTGCCAAAGCTGATTGAGAAGTGTTGGACTGAGGATGAAGTGGTAGGAAATGATTTATCTCCTCCAGCCTTGATGCTTCACCTTGCTGCTCTTGCTTTTTTATGTTGGTTTTTGTTTTTTCTTCCTAAAGAGGTTTTCTTTATGAGCAGCAAGAGGGTGGGTGTGTAAATAAAAGTACAGATGCATGGGTATAAATGAAAAAACTTGATGCAGTGCATGACAGAATTAATAAGTCATGGAAAAATGGCAGCAGAAAAGTTTGGTTGGGGTTTTTTGGTCTCCTTTTCTCCCTCTGGAGCTTTTTCTCCTTTTTTTCTGTCAGCTGCCCCAAGCTGTGGGTGCTGGAGCTGCTGCACTCAGGGCTCTGGGTGATCCACCCACGTTAAATGAGAGAGAACTGAGCCTCACCAATGGAAAAAAACAAAGTTTATTGAAAAGTGAAGCATTGCTCTGTGAGCACAGAGTAATGATCACTGACTCCATAAATCATTGTCAGCCCCAGCTCATTTTATCATATTTGCTCTTGTTCTGCTCCATCCAAGTTTCCAGAAACATTTGGCAGCCCTCCAGGCTGGGCAGAGCCAAAGATCAAACTGTGCTCTTATTTATAGACAGCAGAGCTCCACCTGCACAGCCTCAGAGCCTCCTGCTCCCTGCAGCTCCAGCCCCAAGCAGCTCTGCTGCATTTGGGAGCATTCTGGAGCATTTTGGGAGCATTTTGGGGCATTTTGGAGACTTGCAGGGGAGGTTTCCTTATTGCAGCCCTGGGAAACAGAGAGCTCTTACCCACAGGGTGCTGAACTGCAGAGGAATTCTGCACTGAAATGTTGCTCAGAACACACTGAGGTGTCAAAGCCTCATCTGGCCCAAACAGTGAAACAGTGGTGGCAGCATTAACTCTGTGTGTGCCTTCATCTCAGGGCCAGGGATGTGCTGGGGATAATCCCAGGCAGTTCTGGGGAAATGGAGGCCCAGGTCCAACCCCTGTCCTTATTTGGGCTGGACTTATAATAATAAATCTCTCCTGGCAGCCCAGCAAATGTGGTTTATTTTAATTTAACTACTGAGATTTAAGTTTGCACTTGGATGAATAAGCAGATCCCACACCTGATACAGAGCTTTGGTCAGTTAACGTGAATAATAATAATGATAATAATGACAATAATACCAGCACATTTAGAACTTTTTGTGGGCTCTCAGCTGGCCAAAGCCAAAGCCTTTGTTTTCCATGAGAGCAGCTCCAAACTGGGAGGTGGGAGCTGCTTGGCAGTGTCAGACCTGACTGGAACAAAGGATGGGAGCTGTGGTATTTTTCCTGCTGCTGATGTGGTTGCAGATGTTTAGATGGAATTAAACAGAGGATAAAATTGGCCACTGATTGAGTTACATGGGGGCTGTGTAAAGATGAGGGCTGGGCTTTGTTGTTTCCCTCGTGCCTCTGAACCTGGGGCTGGTTTTAAAGGGTTTTTAGTCCCAGTGTGTAAATGCAGAGGCCCAGGGTGAGAGCCAGCCCTGCCCACAGCGTGTGAGAGTGGCCAGGGCACCTCCTGCTCTGCTCTGCAGCTCCAGCAGCTCTTTCCCGTTTTCAGGCTCCTTCCCCAGCTGACAGCATCCGTTTCCAGCAGAGCTGTGATGGGCTCGGTGTCCCTGGCAATGCTCAAGAATTCCCTCCTGTGGGCAGGGTGCAGCAATTGTCACATTTGATGCCTGGCTGGGATGTTCTGAGCACACACAGCCCCAGCAGCATCTCCTGCAGTTCACAGGATGCAGGAGGGGAGCAGAGCTGGCCTGGTCTGTGCCTCCTGCAGGTGTAAATCTGCTCTCAGAGCGCTGAGCTCTGCCCTGCACCTCGTGGTGTCCTCTGGAAATGGCCCTGTCAGTGTTTGCCAGGTGTGTGTGGGGTTGGGGTGCAGGCAGCCAGAACCCCCCTGGGCTGGAGTGGGGCTGCTGTGCTCTGCCCCACTGGGCAATGCTTTGTGGCTGCTGTGGGAGGGGGTTTGGAGCCTGAGATGGGTCTGGCAGTGCCTCTGTTCCTCTGCTGCCGCCCTGATGGTGCAGCTGGGGTCAGGTTAAATGAACATCCCCATTCCATCCCCTGCTCTGGTTCCACTGGGAGCATCTCCCACGACAAACCGTCCTTAAAAAATTACTATGAACAATCCTGAGAGAAAATGCTCTCTGCAGAATGGCTTTTGTACCTCAGTGGTGTCAGTGCAGCTCTGGGCCTGCTCCAGTGCAAGAGTGAGCTCCCATGTGGGATCAGTAACCTGTCAAAGAGTGTGGGATCAATAACCTATCAAAGAGTGTGATTTATTCAGGGTACAGTGAGCATCTCTGGTTTGGGGAACCTAATGGGAACCTAATTTTCTGTTCTGGCGTGCTTCATGTGCTGAGGTGTGAAGGAGAGGAGCTGGCTCTGCTCACCCCACAGCCCAGGTCCAGCTCACACTTCTATCTCTTTGTGCCTTTTTCTCTCTTTATCAGAAGTTCTGATGGAATCAATGGGACTTTCAGGAGAGAGAAATCCGAATCAGAAGTGCAGGAACCTGCAGTTTATTAGGTTTTTAATTAAACATGATGAACACATTTTAAATACCACAAAGGCCTGGGGCTGAGCTGCATCTAATGGAAACAGATTAAGTCACCCGTCCACACTTGGGTAGTTATTAATTCTGTTTATTTATGCATGCTTGCTGCAGGCAGGGCTTGCTGCTGCTCTGCTGCAGGTTATTGCACAGGGATGCTCTCCTGCATGGAGCTGTGCTCCTCATTAGCATTATGAGGACCCGCTGGGGTTTAATTGCAGCACCTTTGGAACTCGGGGCTGTGCCTTCCCGAGCTGGAGGAGATCTGGGTGAAGCAGAGCTTGAACTTTGTTTGCTGGGCAGTTCCTTCTGCTCCATCCACGTTAAACTCTGCAGGAAGCTGCCAGGTGTTCCTGAGGAATTCTGTGAGTGCCCCTGTGCAGAGCTGGCAGTGCCACCCCTGGCATCCCTGACTTCTGCCTTGTATCCTGGAATATTCTGCCTTTAAATGTTTGACATGGCTCTTGGTGCCGAGTGGTTGGGGTAAACAGCCTCCACTCAAACAAGCTCCTCTGTTTATGTGCAGGGCTGGTTAATCCTGGCTGCTGCTAAATCCTAATTGGCCGTGTACATCCATTTACAAGTTCATAAATTTTCGAATATCCACACCTGGCTTCAGCTTAAACTCGTTTATCAGAAAGCACAAGTGGAGATGCTTCTGCCAGAAAGGACAAGAGACAGCAAACTCCTTCCCTAATGTGTTTGCAAGTGTTTGTAATCCAGTGTGGCAGGTCGAGGAATTACTTATGCAAAACCCACAGCCTTATTTGCTTGGCTTCTCTGCCTGGAATCATCCTCAAAGGTCTCATCCACCCTTTTTGGAGCGTGTGCTGGTGAAAACATTGTTCTCATGTTCTCCTTTGAAAGCAGAGCTGCTTACTGGGGCAAAAACACCATGGATTTTATTTACTGTTTATGTGGCAGCTACAGAAAATTCAGAGCCAGCTTGAAACGGGGCCTCTGGAATGGAGGAGTGGAAAAAATCACAAAAGGGGTATTGGAAAAGCTGAGCTCACTCCTGCAGTGGGCTTGGAAGGTTGACACCAGTGACTGCTCAGTGTCATTGTTCTAAACACAGAAAATAAACAGTGAAATCCCACTAAATGAACATTTGCTGGGATTTACTGATGCAGCCACGTCTGCAAGTGTGATAATCAGGAACAACTGAAACTTAGCTGAGCACTGAGATAACAAACCACCAGACTCAGATTGCTGTGGCGTTGTAGGAGCTGTGTTTTAAGAATAAATCAAATTTTAGTTTAAGAATAAATCAGATTTTAGTTTAGGTCTTGTCTGTGTCCTATTCTAAGAACTCAGAGTGGAAAAGAACCGTCAGCCCTCGCAGTCAAAAGTGACCAGTGAAGGATGAAATTATTCTGCTTGGGGGGAAAAGCTGTTATTTAAAGGTTGCATAAAATTATAGTTACTGAGTAGCTGGCAGGTGTACAAAATGCTGAGGTGCAGTACAGCTGGGAAATACAAGGTGTATACAGCCCAGGAAGGGGAATTTGGTTTAAACACAGGTTCCTGGATGAAAGATAACAATCTTTTGTTTGTGATTAACTTGCATCAGTCTTTGATCCAAGCCCTTGTTGAGAGGGATCAATACTGCACATACAGCACTGAGTTTATTGTCGAGTCCTTTTGGAAATAAGGCAGTGAATTAAAAATCAATTATACGTGCAGAAAAGTTTGTGTAGGGCAATCAATTCTGTCCTTTTAGTTTGCCAAAAGATTCCATTGTTTAACCAGCTGTGAAAAGGAATGAATTTTAAAGGCCTCCAGCAAATGAGGGAACCCAAAGGGGCGGGGGGAGAGATTAAAAAAAATTATTTCAGCATTTCATGTTCAGCAAAGGCTCTTGAGGGATAAATCCATAAATCCTGTCAGTGACCTTGGCTGCAGAGTGGGTGATTTCAGTGCTTTCCCTGATGTTGATCTTTGCCCAGCTGCCAGAGGAGCTGCTGTTTCCTCACCAATATCATTTTGGGGTTTGCTGAGCTGTGTGTGCTCCTTGATCTGCCGTCTCTCTGCCCTCATGTGGAATATTTTCATCTATTGAGCATTTACCCTGCTGCTGATCCCAAAATCACAGCCTGGCCCCTTGGCCTGGCCAGGAGCTGTTTTGGGGTGGGATGGGAGAGAAACTCCAAATTCCAGCTCCAGCACAGCCCAAACCATCCTGGTGTGTTCCAGAGCAGGGTTTGCACTCAGGAGTTCCTGGTGTGTTTTACAGAGCAGGGTTTGCACTCAGGGTTTGCACTCAGGAGTTCCTGGTGTATTTTCCAGAGCAGGGTTTGCACTCAGGAGTTCCTGGTGTATTTTCCAGAGCAGGGTTTGCACTCAGGAGTTCCTGGTGTGTTTTCCAGAGCAGGGTTTGCACTCAGGGTTTGCACTCAGGAGTTCCTGGTGTATTTTCAGAGCAGGGTTTGCACTCCCAGCCCCTGAGCTCCCCGT